AGAGCTATCATATAATCGTGCAATTCTGTTCCTATGTTTCGATCCAGGAAAAAGTCAACACAAAAACATGTATATAAATGCTCATAATCATTCACAATGGTTAATACAGAAAAAAAAAAAAAAACAGCTCAAATGTCTGTTAACTGGTGAATGGCTAAGCAAAGGGTTGATGTTTCATAAAACAGGATATTGTTAGGCAACAAAGAGAAATAAGATACAGTGTACAACAAGAAATTCTCAAGTATTGTGCCAATTAAAAGAAGACAGACATAATCGCCAGGCATGGAGGCACACACCTATAATCCCAGCACTCAGGAGGCAAAAGCAGGTGGATCTCTATGAGTTCCTGGCCAACATGATCTACATATCGAGTCCAGGACAGCCAAGGCTACGCAGAGAAACTTTGTTTCAGGAAGAAGAAAAAAAAAAAAAAAAGAAAGAAAGAAAAGAAAAAAAACAGAGGACGAGCATATGATTGGTTCTAAAATGGCCAAGACAGGAAGCACACAAGTGAGTTCATTGACCCAGGTAAGGATGGAGTATGTGGCAAAGGGGGAGGGAGGTAGGACAGGAGTGACTGCCAGTGTGTATAGGGCGTGAGTGAAGCTCTTCTAAAAATAAATTATGGTGATGCTTGCGAAACTCTAATGTACATACACACAAAACACACTAGATTCACTGTTCACTTCATGGCATATTAATTGTATGTTTTTCAAGACAGAGTTTCTCTGTGTATCCCTCGATGTCCTGGAACTTGCTCTGTAGCCCAGCCTGTCCTTGAACTCACGGAGATCCATCTGTCTCTGCCTCTAGAGTGCTGGGATTAAAGGCGTGAGCCACCATGGCCCGGCTGGAAACTGGGTCTTTTAAAGGGTTAATAAATGACTCAGATTCAGACCCTGGTGGTTGATGGAGGAAAAATATCAGAACCCGCGCTTTTACTAAATACTCTGAATATTTTATTTTTATAATTTTAATGCTGAGGGTTAAAGACTGAATTTAACATGTGAGTCTAAGCTCCTTTGACTTGAGCAAGAGGGTTGTAGGTAGAGGGGCCTGTATGATGGTTCGAGGCTGAGCAAGGGGGAGGACAGATACGCTGTGAAAATCCCTGTTAGATATTGCTGAGACTCCAGAGGTGGAGTAAATAATTCTCCTTCCTCACCAAAGTTCTGAAACAAAATAGGGCTGGAGAGATGGCTCAGCAGTTAAGAGCATTGGCTGCTCTTCCAGAGGACCCGGGCTCAATTCCCAGCACCCATACGTCATCTCACAACATGTTATAAGTCATGGACCAGGGGACCTGGTACCCTTACACAGACATACATGCAAACTGAACACCAATGCACATTAAATAAGTAAATAGATAAATGAATAAGTAGAAATAAAATAAAAGGAAGGGCCACCACTGCTAAGCTATAGGGCCGGGCTGCATTCCTAAAGAGAAGGCAGCTGCAAGCTGCCCAGGGTTTGCTTGGTCTCCTGTGTGCAGCTGTTACATCTTGAAATTCTTAGTCCTTTTTAGATTGCACTGGACCCTACAACCTGTGTAGCTGACAACAATGTCAGCTGACCGATGAGCTGTCAATCTTTGTGAGGCTCTGGTTGTATCTGACCTTCTTGAACTGCTATTATACAATAAATGGTTTTTCAGGGGTGGGGTTGGGAGGGAGTGAGGGAGGGGGCTACATCTGGGATACAAAGTGAACAAACTGTAACTAATATAAAAAATTTTAATTAAAAAATGGTTTTCAGAAAAATAAAATCACTTGAAAACATCTAACCTTCACCACACAGTTCTGATGTGACCCCAGAGAATGTGGCTTGAGTACGAAGGATAATGATGGACCTCCTCTCTAGACCAGAGGCAGCCCCCCCAAAGGAAAGCTTGAATCAGCGACTCATAAACTGTTCTCTCACTGTCCTGGTGGAGAGGAAGAAGGCAGGGACCAGAACCCCAAGCATCACCCTTTTCTGGTGGGCAACTGTGCACAAAGGTCAGGACCCATTTGGTTTAGAGACCTGAAGTGATTAGATAAATGAGAAATGGGAAAGGATGCAGTTCCTCCCGCCTATTTACCTGGCCTCCTCTGCAGGCTCAGATATTTCTTTTTTTTTTTTTAAGATTTATTTATTTATTTTATGTGTACGAGTGCTCTGCTTTCATGCTTTCATGCACACCAGAAGAGGGAATCATACCCCATTATAGATGGTTGTGATCCACCATGTGGTTTCTGGAGATTGAACTCAGGACCTCTGGAAGAACAGCCAGTGTTCTTAGCCGCTGAGCTAACTCTCCAGCTCCCCCAGTCTCAGATAGTTCAAATTGGCCTCAGACTACTAAGCACTTGAAGTAATTCAAATAACTTCTGCTTATCCTGCCTCCCAAGTGTGGCGATTACAGGGTTTTACAGCCATGACTGGTTTAGGCAGTACTGGAGATCAAACCCAGGGCTTTGGTTATGCTCTACCAACTAAGCCACACCCCAGCCTCAGCCCTCCACTCTACTAGATTTTTTTCCCTTTTTTTTTTTTTTTTTTTTTTTGTCTTTTTTTGTTTTTTGAGACAGGGTTTTTCTGTGTAGCTGCCTCTGCCTCCTAAGTGCTGGGATTACAATTGTGTTTTTCTGCCTGGCTCTCCCATCCTTTTTTGTTTGTTTGTTTTTCAGGAAAGGGTTTCTCTGGAACACCCCTGGCTGTCTTGGAACTCTCTCTGTAGACCAGGCTGGCCTCAAACTCACAGAGATCTGCCTGCCTCTGCCTCTTTGAGTTCTGGGATTAAGGGCATGTACCACTACCACCGGGCATTTTTCCCCTTTCTTTTCTCCTGTTCTTCATCCTCCTCTTGTAAGATAAGGTCTCATGTAACCCACACTGGACTCCTGAAACACCTGGAAATCTTCCTACCTCTACCTCCCAAGCACTGGAAATACTCTGTGAGCTTTCCTGCCAGGTTTTTTTAAAATGAGATAAAGTCTCACTGTTATGGCCAGCTTGGCTCTGAGCCTACAGACTCAAGACAGCCTCTTTTCTAGGTCACTGTGGAGTGGCCAGAGGTACCAGTACATGCTGCTTTGTCAAGGCTTTCCACTTTAGCAGACATCTTCCTCAAGAGTCTTTTGTCTACAAGCAACAAATAAAACTGAGTTAGCTTGGAACAGAAAGTTTGGGGACGGTGAGGCGGATCCTGCTCTCTGCCTAACACCAGCTTCCCTCCCTTTCCCCTCCTGATTCTGTTTGGGTACAGGGAGGAAACCCTTGATCTCAGATCAGAGTCTTGTCAGCTCGTGATTCATAACTGCTAAGGTAATAACAGAAATTCAATTCACCTTCGCCACACCTTTGCCTTTCCAACCTTTCCTTATAGTGTCAGTGACCTCGTTCTAGACACAGTAGGCCCGTCTGTGGGGCCTCTAAGAGAGATTTGTTGTTATTAACAAAAATTGAGTCCCTTCCATTCTGGTTCATTTCCTTCTTCCTTGACGCTGTGCTATGAGGACAAGATATCTGGAGCCATGGGAGCTATACTGAGGCCATGAGACAACGAGCAACAAGCAGAACCATAAATCAACATGTTGAATGCCGACTGATGGAAGGTGCCTGGGTCCTCAGTGACACAGCGGAGTTAAGCTCCGGCTCTACCCTATCTCATCCTTCCTGAGGAAACTACTTGTCCTGAGGATTTAGGTCATCATTTGGGTTGTCTCTTGTTTTTTTTCCTCCAGATACATCCAGATATGTGCCTTGTTCACCGTGAGTAATCAGGGACCCAGGAGCAGCTACTCCTGAACTGAAGAAATAGGAACTGGGAAGCTGTCCCTCACTGGGTGTGGCAGCTTCTCTGCCTCACCTCTATGTCTCTCTGAGGATTGCATCAGTCCTCAGCTCTCCCTGCAGGCCAGCTTCCACTGACTCAACATTCGGAAGGCAGAGCCCGTTCTGTGTTTCCTGTATCCTGGGTGCTTAGGTCTACAACCACCACAGGAGCCTCATTCCAGAGCCAGGACAAGAGAGTATGTCGATCCAGCTTTGAGTCATGTACACCTGGGCGCAATAAACAAGGCATGGGAGAGAGGGCACATGCTTAGAACGTGGCTGTGAAAGACCCACCCTAGGGGTATGTATAAGATTTTTAAATTCCTGTTTATTTGTTTGCCAGAAGGCCTTGCTATGAAGTCCAGCTGTCCTCCAAGTCACCATCTCCCCTCCCATCCCTGGTTTTCTCTGTGATATTCTGGCTGTCCTGGAACTAGCTCTAAAGACCAGGCTGGCCTCAAGAATTAGGGTTTTCTTAGAGAAAAGCAGGCATGGGGTAAAAGACTTCTCTAAAGTGTCCGCTCTTCTATGTTGAGCGAGACAGAAAAGGTGAGAGCACTGTGAGGGGTTAGGACAAAGACCGCAGCAGGTAGAAGAGCTGAGCCCGGCAAGAACCAGCCCAGTAAGAACCTCAGGGGATAAGTCAGTTTTTTCCTTTCTTTTTAAAAACAGGCTGTTCTCAGAGTCTGCCTCCTGCCACTTCCTTCAAAGGTCTGGCGCTAGAGACCCCATCCACCCTACAAGTTTACTCTAACTCAGCAGTTCCCCAGCCTTCTAACGCTGCCCCCCCTGACTGCCCCCAACCATAGTTATCTTCGTTGCAACTTCCTAACTGTAACGTTGCCACTGTTAGGAACTGTAAGGTAAATATCTGTGTTTTCTGATGGTCTTAGGCAGCCCCTGGAAAAGCGTCGTTTGAACCCCTTGGGGGGTCGTAACCCACAGGCTGAGAAACATTGCTCTAACGGGATAAGTTCAATCCCTTTTGAAGTAGGATTTCATTGTAGCCCAGGCTGGATATCGCTATGTGGCGATGGATGACCCCTGAACTTCTGATCCTCCTGCCTCTAGTGCTTTCTCTCTCTCAATGTGTGTGTGTGTGTGTGTGTGTGTGTGTGTGTGTGTGTGTGTTCACGCACAGGCTAATAAATCCTCTACCGGCTGGGCTTCCTTTCCAAGCCCTGAAGGATTTGATTGAGAAATGAGGAAGAACCACGATGGAAGAGGAAGGAAAGAAACGGTTCCAGAGTGGAAAACATTGTCTCCAGGAAACCGAGGACCAGGTCTCTCCATCTGCAAAGGCCCTCTGCTCCCCACAGAGGGTGAAAATCAGGTCAGCTTGTTATTTTAAGCTTCCATCGCAAAGAGACTGCCTGTCTGCGTGTTCCCAGGCTCTTAATGGCGAAAACCTGTCTCTCTAGGAAGTTCACTGAAACGGATTGAGGTTAACCTCGACAGCGGTTGCTGCAGGGACCAGAATACTGCTCTGGAGGACAAAGTGGTAGATTCCCCCGTGACCCTTTGAAGGGGGACCTGCTTGGGGAGAACAGCAGCACCTCCTGGTCCTTTGCACGCTGCGAAGGGGGAGGATGCCGGTAGGGAAGGAAGTCAGGGAAGCCAGATCGCAGAGCGGCAGGCGTAGTTTCTGGGAACCGAGGCTGGCCCGCATCCCTCCCTCCTCCCCGGCATTCCTGCAGATTGCTGCCCCTGCTTCACTGGAGAAAGGGCTGTGCTCCTGGACAGGACGCTCAGCAAACACCTCAGTGACAGTTTGAGGATCGCTCTTAAGAGGACCATGCAGGAGGAAGGAACTTGGGCCTCTGTTGTGGTTTATCTTTTTCATGGAGTTGTTACTGATGGATTCATTTTATGCTGGAAAGAATGAGCAAGGAAAATGTTCTCACCACAGGACCAGTTAGGAACTGCATGTGCCTCGGCCTTTACGGGAATAACTTGCTGACCTTCGTTCTGGAGTTCTGAGCACTTCCTCTGGGTCAGAGATCAGGTCAGACACCAGGGTTAACGTTGGGTGTGTAAGAGTGGGGAGAAAAGGCAAGAGTAATTGTCTGGAGTCCTTTGGAAAAAGCCCAGAAACCAAAGACAAGATCAGGGCTCACCTTGGACTCTGTAGAAGAAAAGATAGTTGTTTTTTTTTTTTTTTTTTTTTTTTTTTTTTTTTTTTTTTGGGGGGGGGGTGTTAATTATTTAATTTTATTTTGTGTGCATTGGTGTCAGGATACCAGATCCTTTGGAACTGGAGTTACAGACAGTTGTGAGCTGCCACATGGGTGCTGGGAATTGAACCCAGATCTATTGGAAGAGCAGACAATGCTCTTAACCACTGAGCAATCTCTCCAGCCCAAACGACAGTTTTTTTTTTTTTATTTAAATTTTTTTTCACAATTTATTCACTATATATCCTGATTGAAGCCCTATCCATCAACTCCTTCTGGTTCCATTCTCCTTCCCTCTTCTTCTCTATCCCCTTCCTTTAGACCACTGAAAGAGGCAATTCTCCTACTCTGCCATCTGCTCACAGCTTATCAAGTCTCATCAGCACTGCCTGGATCTTCTTCCTCTGTGGCTTGGCAAGACTGTATCACCAGGGGCAAGTGATCAAGGAGCAAGAATCGAGTTCATGACAGAGGCAGCCCCTGCTCCCCTCCCTCGGGAGCCCACATGGAGACTGAGCTGCCAATCGGCTACATCTGAGCAGGGGGTCTAGGTCTTCTCCGTGCAAGGTCCCAAAGAACAGTTTTAATGTAAGGTATTCTGTGGGAATTACAAAATCAAGAACACTATAACTTAAAGAGGTGTCCACCCAGTTTCTAATCACTTTTCTGAGCACTGTGGAAGATTATAAACACATTTCTAAGCCACCTCCAAGGAGGCCCATGGTGCCGCCAGAGAGCAACTGTATATGCTATGAATTATGAGAATGCTGGCAATTATAGCTGACTCTGTCACCTTCTCCCCAGCCTCTGTCCTCTCTCCTATTTTATTGGTTCACACCTAATGCAAACACTATTTACTCTATTGGATGGCTTTTGGTATTTGTCCCCATTTTGCAGAAGAGGAAACTGAAGCTTAGGGAAACCTATGCAACAGACTTTGGGAACTGAATGGAATCAAGATTCAAACATGGGGCCGTCTAATTTTATCTTATTTTTTGCAGTGCTGGGTTCTCGAAGTGCTGTACCACGCATTGAGGTGGATTCCCAGGTCTAATTTAGAATTCATTTTTAGGTGGCACGTTGCATTTCTAATGACTTCAATTGAACGTATCACAGCCCACGCAAGGCTTGAAAGAATGATAAGGGGTCGCTCGGTGGTGGCAAATGCCTTTAACCCCAGCACTAGGGAAGCAGATCCAGGTGGATCTCTGTGAGTTCAAGGCCAGCCTGGTCTACAAAGCAAGTCCAGGAGAGCTAGGGCTACAAAGAGAAACCCTGTCTTGGAAAAAAAAAAAAAAAAAAGAACGATAAGGAGTCCTGTTGCTAAAATTTCTCCCCAGGAGAAATCTGCCCCTTCTTAGGCTCCAATGAAAAACTAGCAGAAACAAGTGAATTCATTGAGTTTCCTTACAGGTGAGGAGTCCTTTACAGGGGTGTGACTGCTGCTCCCAGAAACAGGCTGCACCCAGAAAGACTTTATTCAGCAGGGATGAGGGCTCCCCCATATACTCAAGTTGAGGGTCCCTACCACTCCTGTGTCAACAAACCCAGCTGGGGTGATCTTGCACAAAAGGGCACAGTTTGCCCATGCTGGTAGTTGCTTGGCTCAGAGGTCTATTGCAGGTCTAACCAAGAAAAAGGATATTACTCCAAAAAAGTCCACAAAACAGAGGAAGCCTAGTTTCCAGGAATTGGTGGTGGAAAAGCCAAGGAGCCCACAATGAGACAGTCCTAAGGTGTGAAACAGCGGCTTCTGCCAGTAAAGAGGCAGTGCCCAGAGATCTTAGCCTCCCTGGGATGCTGCGGCACAGTAAAATGAACACAAAGGGAATGGCTCAGACACGGGCGGTTGGTTTCCCACAGCTCTGGAGGCTGCAAATCCAAGATCTGGGGCCTCTCCCCTTGGCTTACAGGCAGCTCCATTGTATTGTGTGACTTCTCTGTGTATATACATGGAGCTCGCCAATAAGCTCTCGCTAGCTCTTGTTTCGAAAGATTTATTTATTTCTTTTACATACATGTGAGTGCTCTATCTGCATGAATAGCATGCATAGCATGCACACTCATGCATACCGGAAGAGGGCGTCAGATCCCAGTGTAGATAGTTGCCAGCCACCATGGCAGTTGCTGGGAATCAAACCTAGGACCTCTGCAAGAGCAGACGCTGGGTTTGCAATCGCTAAGCCATGTCTCCAGCCCTTGTTTTTAAATTTAAAAAGAAATCCCCCTTAGATTCTGCTTTTTCATGACAGAGTGCCATGAAGTCCATGCTGGCCTTCGACTTAATATATTGCTGAGGATAACCTTGAACTCCTGATCCTCCAGCTTCCTCCCACCTCCCCCTGTCCCACACCCCTCCTGCCTGTGCTTCTTGAAAGCTGAGGGCATTCACTTCTGACTGTTCAGCTGACTCTTGCTTTATAGGCTCATGTCCTTAGATACAGTCCATCTGGGTGTTACTTGGTTTTCAATGAGTTCAGGGTGCAAGTATTCCTGGGCACACCCAATGAAAGAATTTGATGTGAGTGGAGATGCCCAGGCCTAGAAATTGTTCAAAGAGAACTTGTGCAGAGATGTGGTCTTCCCATTTGCCTTGGGGCAGAAAAGGAGGGAGTCAACCTTAGGGCTGATTCCGAAGTGTAGTTTCACCAATTACTATAGGATTTTGACGTGCAGATACTTTCTGGCTCAGAGGCAGGGGGATCACTGCAAGTTCAAGGCCAGTCTGGTCTACATAACAAGTTCCAGGCCAGCCAAGGCTACAATGGGGGAAGGGGGTAGGGGTGGAGTGAGGAGCCAGAAGTGAGGAGGAATTCAAGGTTATATATCAAGCAATACGTGCGGGGGCGGGGGGGGGGAGCATTAAGGACCTTCCAGCCTGGGGTCAGCAAGGCCACATCAGGAGAGGGGACTGAGAACCGGAGACTCTCCATGCTTTTCTCAAAGGAACAGTTGTGCAAAGCTGGCATCGTGCCAGGCTTGCAATCCCAGCACTTAAAAAGCTGAGACAGGAGGATTACTACAAATTTGAGGCCCGCCTAGGTTACATAGTTCCCAGCCAACTCGGATGACACAGCAAAACCACGTTTAAAAACAAACCCCCAAAATAATTAAAATAAAATAAAAAAGCCTGCTGGGCAGCTTCAGGCTGTATGTTGCTATGGAATGGGGGAGGGGGGAGCATTTTTGTTGGTTTTAATAACAAGTCAGACTTTTTATGTGAACTCTACTAGTTTTAGATACCAACAACAAGGAACACCCATCTTAGAGGCTGATTGGAGGCCGCCCGTCTGGAACCTCTGAGCTGAGCAATGAGGGTAGGTAAAAGGTCTTAGGTAAGACCTTAGGTTTCTTGGAAGGGATGAAAAATGAAAGGAATGAGTGGGCTGAGGTGGACAGGGAGGAGGGCCGGGCCTCTGGACAGCTGTCATTAGGGACACTGGGGAAAGGCATTTGGGCGTAGTTACTTTGGAGTTTTGTGGTGGGTAACTTCCTTCTGTTCGAGTTAAACCTTCAGGGGAATAGACTTTTAGCACGGACTTTTAGCCTCTGCTGCCAGAGCTACACTTTCCCCGGAGATACAGTTATGTGAGTTTGGCTTCTAAGAAGCTGGGTCACACCTGAGTTGTACTGAGTCTCCACCTTGCTGCAAGTCCAGATTCTAATCCGGTTTGCTGAACCGGGAATCTGGAAAAGCAAGTAATTCAGGATGCAGGGCTTAGTGGAAGGAAGAACTAGGCTTGTGTCGTGAGGCCCTGGTTATGCGCTCTAGGCATACACTAAGTAGCCATACAGCAATGCCCTCCACACAGTGTTCTAGAGACCTACGTTAAAAAAAAAAAAAAAAAAAAGAATACAGCCGGGTGGTGGTGGTGACCCCTGCCTTTGATCCCAGCTCGAGGGAGGCAGAGGCAGGCAGATCTCTGAGTTTGAGATCAGCCTGGTCTACCAGGCTCCTGGATAGCCAAGGCTACACAGAGAAACTCTGCTTCAAAAAACAACCAACCAACCAACCAAACAAACAAACAGGAAACAAAAGAGAAAACTGACTATAAACTGTTTAGCTCCATATTTAGTAACTAGTGTACCTGACAATTCAATCGGAGGACCCACGTGGTGGAAGGAGAGAACTGATTTCTGCCAGTTGTCCTCTGACCCCCCCCCATGTACTCTGCAGCATGTGTACGCCCACCCACACAAATAAATGCACATAAAAATTCTAATTTCTTATTTCTTGGAGCTGGCGAGCAATTAAGTGTGTGTACTCTTCTTACAGAAGACCCAAGTGTCGTTTTCCCAGGTCCCGTGTTGGGCTGCTCACAGCTGCTTGACCTTGACCTCCAGGGGATCCAGTACTGGCTCCTGGCCTCTAAGGGCAACCGCACTCACCTGTACATGATGAAAAACAAAACAAATCAGCCCCTTATGATTTGTGGCCCACATCTTTAATCCCAGCCCTCCGGGAGCCGGAGGCAGGATGGATCACTGTGAGTTCGAGGTCAGCCTGGTCTACAAAGTGAGTCCAGGACAGCCAAGGCCAAGAGAAACCCTGTCTTGAAAAAAAAAAATTATAAATAAATAAATAAATAAACAAACAAATAAATAAATAAATAGATAAATAAATACCGCCAAGCAGTGTGGCACACACTTTTAATCCCAGCACCAAACAAACACAATAAATTTTGAAAATGGTTTCTTATTAGAAAAACGATAAAGCCACTGTCCTGGTTTTTAGGCATTAGGCTCTTGTGAGTTTTCTAATGTGAGTTTATAGTTCTCTCTCTACAGGTGTTGGGGATTCAACCCTCCACACAGTACTTGAACCCCCTCCCCTCCCGGTTTATACAGAGTACGGACATAGTGCCCTGGGTCCGGGAGCAAGACCCAAGAGCTCACCGCTGCTGCAGTGAATGACCCCGCGGTCACTGTTCTCTGCTTCCTGACTGCAGAGGCAATGTGGCCAGTTACCTCGCCCTCTTGCCACAGACCGTACATTAACTGAGTCAATGAGAAGCCTTCTTCCTTTGTTCTGTTGCAGAGAAGTAATACAGCTGTCCAGAGAGCCCGTGTTTACACCTGGTTATTACATCACCTGGCATCTGTTCTGTCATCGTCTTCGTCTTCGGTTTTTTTAAGACAGGGTTGCTACTTGTAGTCCTGGCTGTCCCGTATAGCAGGCTGGCCTCGAACTCATATGTGGCTGCCTCTAGCCTCCCAAGCGTGGGGATTACAGGCGTGCGCCACCGCGCTGCTCCCGATTCTGTTTCTTAACTCTTAGCTGAGTGTTATTTGCCGCTCAGGTGAAATCCAGAGCTCCTGCCTTCCCTGTTAATTACGTCTGACTGGCTTCATGTGGGGCCACGGGGCTTCTCACCTTGGGGGTCAAGGTTCAGACGAGAGCAAAAGGATCTGAGAGAAAGGAGAGATATCATGGTAGGCAATAGCAGGCTGTGAGAGCTGGCATCTTCCCAGCCTGCCGTTTAGCTCAGGAAATGGACTACAGGCCTCCTAGGTCCCAGACACTGGCTCATAGGGTTTCCAGGCAGGGAACTCAGCGGCCAGGGAACGTGGTCCTCACTGGAGGCTCTGGTGGCAGCTGTGGTTTAGAAGGTAGCAGTGTCCGTCAACAG